GATGTGGGGAGGGCACTTGGGGTGATCCCAGTCTCGGGTGGGGGTTGGGAGGACTCCTCCCTCTACTTCCTTCTGCCCCCTCTCACCTCGCCAGACGTCCGGAGTCCCCGGCTTTCCTGTCCTACCTCCCTTCGGTTGAAGATGGGTGGGTGTCTGCGTGGGCGCAGGGCTGTGGTGCGCCCCCGGGCTAGGTCATACCTCCTGCCCTTTCCCTTGGCTCGCCTTGGCTGAGGTGTCCCTGGAGTGGCGAAAGTCACAGTACGGCGGCTAGATGGCTTTCGGCGGTCATCCTTTGGGTTTGTGTAAACGTAAATCGCGGGGAGTTTAGAAAGCAAAGGTTTTTATTTATCGGCGTTCGTTGCATTTTCTCCCGAGGGGAGTGGAAAAAGATTTCTTTTTTCCCCCACTCTGCCTCCATTTGCATTCTTTGTGAGGTCTGTCTGCCTTGTGCTTTTTTGTCCCGGATTAGTCTTGCTCAAGGATGGAGATTTCCAGGCATGGAGTCTTACAGCTTTTGGCTTCCATTAAAGCAAATTCGCTAACCTTTTAAAGGGAAAGTTTATTTTTTTCCTTAATTTCAGAAATAGTTTATATTGACTAGATGAATTAATCCACTTGAGACTAACTTGGTTACATATGGTAGGTATATTAACATGTATCTGGTTCTTTTGGAGGGCTGGAACCACATATTTTTTAAAATGAAATAAAAGCTAATTTTTTAATTAAAATGGCATAGTTGAGAAAGCCTCTGGTACTGAGTTTTATTTATTTGTATTCTAAATTTGTGCTCTTCCTTGTTCGGAGGGATATTATTTAATGTTCCTGTTATCCATCTTCTGGGCTGCTTCCTATTTAAATGAAGTTTCTTTTAGATAACTCGTGTTTGATTGAAGGAAATCACTCAAGTGTTACCTTTGGTAAAGTGAACTGAGTTTAAGATTAAGAAACTGGTTTTAAAGTGACCCTTTGGCCTCTGGAGCATATTGAGTTGTAACTCTCCCCACCCTTTCTCTTCTCCAGGTCAATTGAAAGAAGAATGAACTGTAATCCTTGAAGATAACTGGGCAGTTTTTTTTTTTTTTTTGGATTATAGAAGTTCAGATTCTTACTGGTGTTGGAGGTTTAGACAAGTCTTCAGTTTGTGGACACACAGCAGCAGACCACCATTTTCAGTGAAGATTAGCGCCCCCCCCTTTGGTTTCCTTGGCAAAAATTAAACCGTTGCATCATTGCAACTCCTGTTTGGGTGTGGTGTTAGGATATAGTAATGGCATACACTTTCCAATGCTTTGCTTAAAAGACAAGACCACCAAACTCTACCATTACACCAAACCTTGCTCATCTTGAATTCAGAAATTAGCCTTTTTTTTTTAATACAAATATCTGAAGAACTCAAGAAAACAAGACTTTCCTCAGAAGTCTGCTTATTGTTATATTCTTTATTGTTAGATACAAAATGAGAAGTTTTGTAGTATTTTCGGTTATCTCCTAAGGTATAACTAAAAAAAAAAGTTGCACAAATCTATCGAGAAAGAAAATTCATCTTTGCAAACTAAAAAAATTTCTAAGGGAGCCATAAGTATTTGTATACATTATCCCTTTCTCTTCAAATTAGAAACTGAGTACAACATGCCAATTGCAGACTTAATTATTTAAAACACCAGTGTAGCCATGGAAAACCTACAGTCCAATTTTTCCTTAGTTCAGGGTTCAAATAAAAAACTGAATGGAATGGAGGATGATGGCAGCCCTCCCGTGAAGAAAATGATGACAGACATGCATGCCAGTGGAAAAACGCTGACCAAGGTGAAGAAGGAACATTTGGATGACTATGGAGATGTATCAGTGGAGACAGATGGAGACCATGCTAAACGAAACTGTACTTCCATCCCCGAAACTTTAAATTTAAACCCCAGCCTGAAACACACACTGGCACAATTCCATTTAAGTAGTCAGAGCTCTTTGGGTGGGCCAGCAGCATTTTCTGCCCGATACTCCCAAGAAAGCATGTCGCCGACTGTGTTCCTGCCTCTTCCATCTCCTCAGGTTCTTCCTGGCCCTCTTCTCATTCCTTCTGATAGCTCCACAGAGCTCACACAGACTGTTTTGGAAGGGGAGTCTATTTCTTGTTTTCAAGTTGGAGGAGAAAAGAGACTCTGTTTGCCCCAAGTCTTAAATTCTGTTCTCCGAGAATTTTCACTCCAGCAAATAAACACAGTATGTGATGAGCTATACATATATTGTTCAAGGTGTACTTCAGACCAGCTTCATATCTTAAAGGTCCTAGGAATACTTCCGTTCAATGCCCCATCCTGTGGGCTGATCACATTGACTGATGCGCAAAGACTCTGTAATGCTCTACTGCGGCCTCGGACTTTTCCTCAAAATGGTAGCATACTTCCTGCTAAGAACTCTTTGGCCCAGTTAAAGGAAACTGGCAGTGCCTTTGAAGTAGAACATGAATGCTTGGGCAAATGTCAGGGTCTCTTTGCACCTCAGTTTTATGTCCAGCCTGATGCTCCCTGTATCCAGTGTCTAGAGTGCTGTGGAATGTTTGCACCCCAGACATTTGTCATGCATTCTCACAGATCACCTGACAAGAGAACTTGCCACTGGGGCTTTGAATCAGCCAAGTGGCACTGTTACCTTCATGTGAACCAAAAATACCTAGGGACACCGGAAGAAAAGAAACTGAAGATAATTTTAGAAGAAATGAAAGAGAAGTTTAGCATAAGAAATGGAAAGAGAACCCAGTCAAAGGCAAGTTTGCTTTTTTTAAGTAGTGATTTTGAATAGTGGTAATGGCTTCTTAATTCTGTGTCTATAGCTTTGTATTATGAAGCCAATGTCTCAGCTTACTCTTTAATAACAAAAAGCCATCTGTGTTGTGTTTTCCAATTTTGCCCATAAAGTGTTTTAAACTGTCTATTCCCACCTGAGAGAAGTAAATCTTTCCCATTTTACAGGTTAAGAGAATGAGCCTCTGAGTCTCAAGACTTTTCTAGACTTGGAGGCATTGTGGCTTCTGTTGGCCAATCTTTCACACGTCTTGCTTCTTGACTAAATCTGTTGCCTAGAACTCACGATAGTTTGCACTTTGGTGTTGTTATCTCCATTTGCAAATGATACAGCTAGCTAAAACTGGTGTGGTGATGGTTCACAACTGCCTTTCAGAGCTACACCAGTGGTTTTTGTTGTTTCTGTGCTTGGAGATAGAAGATTGAGCTGTACTCAAGTCAGATCGAGACACTTACCTGAGTAGTTTGTACTAGTAACCAGGATTTGGGGTTTTGGTTTTTGAAGACAGAATTTCTCTGTAGTCCTGGCTGTCATGGAACTCACTCTGTAGCCCAGGTTGGCTTCGAACTCGCAGAGATCTGCCTGCCTCTGTCTCCCAAGTGCTGGGATCAAAGGTGTGCTACCACCGCCTGGCTCCGGATTTTATTTTTAATACAAAAGAAAGGAATGCTTTTGAAAAATTGTGACAGACAAAAACAGAATAAAGACTATTTCAGAATAACAAAATATTATTATAACTAGCTATCAGCAAAAGAGATCTTTTTGGTTTTTTTGAGACAGGGTTTCTCTATGTAGCTTTGGAGCCTATCCTGGCATTCACTCTGGAGACCAGGCTGGCCTTGAAATCACAGACATCTCCCTGCCTCTGCCTCCCGAGTGCTGGGATTAAAGAGTGCGCCACCGATGCCCAGCCGCAAAAGAGATTTTAACATTACTCTTTCCACAGCACTATTTGGTAGGCTAAGATAACTAATTAAGATTTGAGTGCCTGGATGAAAGACAGTTTGAAGTGTTAAACCTTGATGTGGTTATTATATATATATTTTTTACTTCCTTTAAAATTCATATGTAATATACCTAGCACAGTTTAAAATGTATTGAACATTAGTCTGGAGCTGTTTTTCATGTATAATTTTACTCAATTCTTGATAGAAGATTGGCCACATTTTAACAACTTTATAAAGTTTTCCACTATTTAGGTTTCCCTTTGAAATACCACTTTCTTTCTGTTTAACAGAAGAAAGTTTATTAAGTAACTCAAGGTTGTTCACAGCAGAGTTAGGGAGGCTTAAATTTAATATTGGGTGTTTTGTGCCTTTGAGGGAACATCAGTGTCCTCTAAGACAGTGGTTTGCTGCTGAAGTTCAACATGGAGAGAATTCAGCTCAGACTTTTCCTTGGGGTCACCTGCTGCTTTCCCAAAAGTTATCACTCCTCGCCGGTGGCCACTAGATAAGTTTTATTCTTCAGGTGTAGTGTTAACTGACTTAAAGCAGGATTGACCTGATGCCATTACTTCAAAGTGTGAAACTTGCCTATAGCTTCTCCTTGTGTGGTGTTGGAGTTCCTGCTCGAGACCTAAATTTGAAAGTGCAGGGCGCTCCTTTTGATGCTTCTGTGTAGCCTCAGCTAATTAGGGCCACTACCCTTCATGTCTGACTGTGGCCGAATTATATACAGGACCCTTACTCTGGTCGTCATTACTTTTGATAGGCATTCTTAGAACCACCTATTTTGTGCTTGGGTGAAAACCCATATGGGCTTGTTTTGTAAGATAAACTTACTGAGACAATTGAATCTGTCCTTCACGTGGGATACAGTAATACAGATACATTTTTTGGGAGGGTCTAAGTTTTTCTCAGTTTGCTGGAGGTTTTGTGCCATGTTTACAATTTTATGTGAATTGAAGGAAGTTAGGGGAATTTAAGAAAATTTCATCAAGTCTTTTAGAAGAAAAAATTGGATTTGTATTTACCACATGCTTAAGCAGGTTTTAAAATGCTGCTAACTGCATATTTTAAGATTTCCTTCTTTGAACATGGAGAGGTAGTTTTTAAGGATCTGTGAGGGAAGTGACTTGGACCGTTTCCTCCTGTCCATGTGCCTGGTGTGTGGCTAGTGGCTGTAGAATGAGTTGAAGGTAGATTTTCCTGAAGCAGCCGAAGCTGCACTTGAGGAATAGTATTAGAGCTTAGTTTAGCACAGGCTCTTCAATTTTTTACTGCACAAAAATTGAAATACTTACATGGGAAAGTATTCTGAGAGTCCGGGGATTTTAGTTGTTAGTTGTCAGACAAACCAAATTGATGAGGAAACTCCATTTAAAAAAAAAATCAAATCAGGCGGGGCAGTGGTAATGACGCACACCTTTGACCCCAGCATTCAGGAAGGAGAGGCAGGCGCATCTCTGAGTTCTGAGGCCAGCCTGGTCTACAAAGCTACATAGAAAAACCCTGTCTTGGGGGGAAAGAAATCAAATCAGTCTTTTGTTTAACCTGAAGACTGCTGAATATTTTAACCTGCTATGTGAAGGAAATAATATTCACTGTGACCAGTGTAATTTGATAGGGTTTATGTAGTCAAAATACTGGTTTTGGATTAAAATAAAAAGAAACCTGAAAATATAGGCACTTGTTAGAAATGTAGTGACTTCTTTTAAGGAACAGAAATTATATTAGTAATTCCAACAAGGTGCTTATTTGCGTTAACTAACATTTAATTTGCATAGTTAGATATATTTAGATTCTAGGAATAGGTGGGGTAAGGTTAAGTGTTCTTGGAGAACTGTATTCTTTGTAGAAACTAAAATATTTTGGACCCTTTCTTAGGCTTTCAGAAAAATGCATGATGGGTCTGGGCACATAGTTGAGTTGGTGGAGTTTGCCTAATTTGCACAACGCCCTGGGTTTGATTCCCAGCACTGCATAAGCCTGGGGGGTGGTGCACCTGTGTTCCTGTATTTGGGAAGTGTAAGTAGGAGGGTCATCCTTAGCTACATAGGGAGATTGAGGTCTACATGAGACCTTGTTTCAAAAGTAAAAAAGTGCATATAATTTTAGATATGCTTGGGTGTTGCTGTAGAGTGGGTATTTCCAGACTCTGATGGTAGGTTTTTGTTGTGCTTTTTATTTTAAAAGGTTTTTGTGTTTTAGAATGCACAACTAATAATGGAAAAAAACTGTTTTCCTAATTTTTTTTCACCTCCTAAGTTGGTATTCAGACAGATAAGAATCAGACCCACTGAGTTTCTGCTTTTAGAACAAGGCTAAGGCAAGTTTGTATGCAGATAAACCTGAAGATTATTTTCAAGCAGCTAGGAAGAGGTCATTTTTGGTTAGCTGGTAACAACTGTAGGTGATTCTTCACCTAACACTGGACTGACCATTTCTGAATCACTAGTTAAGAGTGGTTTGTGCTGAGCTGGAGAGAGAACAACACTGATGGCTCTTGCTGAGGACACAGCTTTTGTTCCAGCACCCAAATGGTAGCTCACAACCATATGTAATTCCAGTCCCAGGGGATCTAAAGCCCTCTTCTGGCCTTTGAAAGCAACAGTCACATAAATTTATTCAAACAAACACTCATACACACAACACATAAAACTTCTTTTTAAAAAAGGGTGGTATGTGCCCTTAAAGTATTACAACTAAGATTTCAAAGTCAGACTGGTTTGCTCTAGTACGATAGTGTAGTTTTACTTTGTGCAGCTAAGGGAGTACTGGTTTCTAGGTTATCTGTGATGCAGACAGATGCCCTGAAGATAAACAACTTAAAAGTATTTTCTCCTGGTTGGTAGAGAAAGTGCTTAGCTTGTATTAGCCCTGGGTTGAGCTTCAGTTCACCTGTCCCTGAAAAAAGCATTGACCCTTCTACTCCCTTTAGTTTTGCATTTTTGTTTCTGCAGTGATCTGGAACATATTTCTCCTCTCTTCCAGGGTGCTGGATGTTTAGGAAACATACTTGTTATAACCCTAATAATGTAAGCAAGTACATTTTTTAATATTTGGTGTTAAAATTTTTTGTAGTTCTGAAGTCAAACCCAAGGCTTTGCCCTTGCCAGTCATGTGTTCTACTACTGAGGTAGGAAGCCTCCCTAGCCCAAGGATATCCCCCGCCCTAAGACAGGGTGTCTCTGGGTAATACTGGAACTGGCTCTATAGACCAGGCAGGCCTTGAATTCAGATCTGCCTGCCTCTGCCTCCAAAGTACTCGGATTAAAAGTGTGCACCACCACCCAGCAGAATAATTTTTTAAATAATGGCTTAACCTTTTAAAATGTATTTAGCTTATATATACAACTTAGTATAACTTATCAAATGAAAGAATGAATGCAGAAGCATTTTGTATAGAAATATCAGATGGTATTGAATTATAACTGAAATATCAATATATACATGGGAATTCCTCCCAAACATCTTCGTTTACCAAACATGTGCAACAGGTCTGTCATAAGACAGAAACATTTAAAAATTATATATACTTGTAGACTGCAACCCAAATAGGTATGTGAGTTGGTTCCCTTGGAGATGGTGCCCATTCGAAGTCTGGTTGAGATTACCTTGAGGTTTTGGATAATGGAGCCCAGCACAGTCTTGTTTGGATTGGGTCAAAGTTTGTTTGGTTCACCATTTTCTTTGACAGTGGGTTTTGATACGGAATTTATAGTGATTGAGTTTTCGGAGTTTTTTTTTTCCCCCCACCTCCCCTCCCAGTGATTTTATTCTTTTAATAGTAGGAGTTCCCTGATTTTATTGTAAAGTTTTAGAATGCTTTGGGAATAGTACGCCCATGTTTTAATAAGTATAGGATATATTAATTTTTAACCTAAAATGGAATTGTTAGCACTATTTTTTAAAGACATGATTTTTAAAAAGTTAGATATTCTTTTTTGTTTTGAGTTCCTTTCGCTACAACTTTTCATCTGTGGGGCTCCATGAGAGAAGTAAGCCCCACAGAAAATGCCTAGGGAGATGGCTTTGTCAATTCTCCTAAGAGAAGTGCAGAGTGTACCATTCCAGTGTGCTGGAAAGGGTTAGTTTACCAAATACAGTGAGTGTCTAGGCATTTTTAACTCTCTACATAACCAGGTTGAGAAGGTCAGAAGGAAGGAGCATGAAATCATTTTAGTAGATCATTAGCATATAAAAAGCCAACACAAAACAGAATAAAATAGAAAATTGAGGATATTATACACAGTAAAGCCAATTTTGTTTTTGTTTTCATAGTGAACATTATTTGAAAGCCCAAATCAGACCATATTTTTTAAATGCATGTGTTTCCAACTAAGGAAAATAAAGCCTTACCTTTATTTTTAATTATAAAAGAATACGGCAGACAAATGGAATACTCATAAAAAGAGAGTAGATGGAATGCAGTGATTAATAATAGCAGCAAATGTAAATCATCTAAACACCCCCAATTAATGGCCAGATTTACTAGATTGGCTAAAAATAGCACAGTTATGTGCTGCCTAAAAGAAAACCATTTCAGGGGCTGGAAAGATGGCTCAGCAGTTAAGAGCACTGGCTGCTCTTTCAGAGGACCCGGCTTCAATTCCTAGCACCCACCTGGCAGCTCACAACTGTCTGTAACTCTAGTTCCAGAGGATTGAATACCCTCACACAGACATACATGCTAGGAAAATGCCAATATAAATAAAATAAAAAAAAATTCAGATATAGAATCGGTGAAGTTAAAAGTTGAAGCATGGAAAGAGATGACACCTGAAATTTAAAAAAAAAATTATTTTGGGTTTGGAGAGCTGGCTCAGTGGTTAGACCATTTACTGTTCTTGCAGAGGACGAAGGTGTGGTTTCCCACAGATGGTGATTTACAGCCAGTTCCAGAGGATCCCTTTGGTACCATTCAATACATGCAGGAAGCCTTAGGTTTATATATGTTAAACATTTTTGATGTATTTCAGTGAAAATACTGTTACAGCATTGAGATTGCTGCTTTTCCTAGTTGGCTACAGCTGCCAGGGTTACCTGAAGGAGTCTGAATTGGGGTGCTACCTCAATCAAATTGGCCTGTGGCTTGTATTTGGAGCATTTTTTTTTATTGCTAATTGATGTAGGAGGGCCACCCCCTGGGCAAGATATTCCTGAGCAAGCCAGCTTTCCTTCTTCAGTTGATTCCTGCCGGAGTTGCTGTCCTGAGTTCCCTCAGTGATGGACTGACTTAGAAGCGAAAGCTATGTAAACCCTTTCTTTCATCCCCAAGTTGCTTTTGGTCAGTGTTTTGTCACAGTGACTGAAAACAAACTAAACTGTGCTTAACTATCTGAGGATGTGGCTCAATGGCTGGATGCTTGACTGTCGATCCCAAGCACCTGGGGTGGGAGGGGTCCATGGGGGCGCGCAGGACAGTGATGTTTACTATGTAAAGTTTATAGCAATAATTATAGCATAAAATTTTATTTTCTTAGTTTTTTTGTTAATTCCGTGACAAGAGTTTTATCAGTACAAGTTGCAAAGGGAGAGCTGTGCTACCAACTTCACATGAAGATTTAAGATAATGATTACGTATTTATTAAATGAAGAATAGCCTTTGCTTTCCACCTGGGCTTTGTCAGGTGTGTGGGGAGTTTGATCTTTTTAGTGTGAACAATAGGCACCAATTTGACTCCCAGTTATCCATGGGATCAGCCCTTGAGAAGTTAATACAGGTGCTTAGATCCTAGTGTTTCAGTTTTGCATTAGGTTAATTCTCAATCAGGTGAGGCATAAATCTAAGCCTGAAAAGCTCCTAAGTAGCTACTTGCTATCTCATAACAGTTTTATTTCAGTTGTTGACACACTCATTTACAATATGCTGGGCACACTGAGGAACTGGATACCATCTGAGGGATTGGGTTTCTTTTAGTAAAAGTTGTTGGCAGCTATCTGGTAGAAGGTGCTTTGTATAGTTCTGAAATCGTTCATTAACAGCTTAAATGTCTTTGTTATATATGATATAAAGACCCAGGGCCAGGGTATTACTTCATACCTGAGGAGGCATTTCTTAAGCAGTAGCAGCTAGGTTATCTAGTAGTGTCCTTGGCAAGGTTGCTGACAATTTATGTTGAACTTATTATATAATGATATGCATTTAATGTGCATTGTAGTTTATTTTTGATTTAAGTGTTCCATTAAGACTGTTAAACTGTCCTGTAGTGGCACACACCTTTAATCCCAGCACTCAGGAGGCAGAGGCAGGTGGATTTCTGTGAGTTCAAGGCCAGCCTGGTCTACAAAGTAAGTTCCAGGACACAGGGGAACCCCCCCCCCCAAAAAAAAGACTGTTAAACTTACCAATTGGTGTACTGTCTTTGAACACAAGAATTTAAAAATGATATAGTAATATACTTGTAGCATTTTTAGCCTTTATTGTATGTGTGTAGGTGTTTTGTCTGAATGTTTGTCTACATCACTTGCACTCCTGTGACTGCAGAGAGATCACTAGAGGGTGCCAGGCCCACTGAGACTGTAGGTACAGATACTTGGGGATTACCATATGGGTGCTGGAAATTGAGTCTGGGTCCTCCTAATCACTGAGTCATCTTTCCACCCTCATTTGTAGGTTTTTGGGGTTTCTTTTTTTTGTTTGTTTTTTTGGGGGGAGGAGGTTGAGACAGAGTTCACTGTAACAGCAGCCTTGGCTGTCCTGGAACTAGTTCTGTAGACTAGGCTGGCTTTGAACTCAGAGATCTGCCTCTGCCTTCCAAGTGCTGGGATTAAAGGTTTGTGCCACCAATGATGCCTGGCATATTTGTAGCATTTTAAAAAAAATTCTGCTTTTCAAAAATTTTGGGGGTGGGGGCAGCAAAATGACAGTGGGTAAGGGCATTTGCCATCCATCATACCTGATGACCTGAGTTCAGTCCCCAGGTTTCACATGGTAGAAGGAGAGAACTGTCTCATGAAAATTGTCTTTTGAGAACACACATACACACACACTCACATTCTATTCACACAAACACATACTCTCATACTCTAAAAGTAAAAGCATTTAAAACTTTAAAAGTGACTTAATTTTATTTTTTATTGGGGTTTTGGAAGTCTCACCAGCATTTTAAAGCATTGTCCCATTTTTTTAAATCAGTGTTTTTCACTACAAATTAGAGAGTATAATATTAATCTATTAAAATTAAAACTGAGTGTACCACTTAGAAGACAAGTTTATTCTTGAATGTAAGTCTGGGACTCATAAGGACTTTAATGCTTTGAGCAGGTGAATGTGCTTTGTATTTAAATTTCTTGTAAAAAGCAAAGTCAGTTTCCCAAAATTGTGTCATTGTTAAACTGATACGAAAGCATCATTTGTTAGGCTATCTGATTATGCAAGGCTGTGTATACGAAGTCAGTTAAGATGCAGAAGTCTAGGGAAACTTTGAAATTATTACCTAAATCTCATTTATTAAAAATGAACTTACTGTATATTTTGGGATCCTTTAAATTTGCTTTTATAGGTGTTACTTTGGTATCTAGTAGAAAAAGAATCTTTGGATTGAAATAATGTATCTGAAACTTTGCTTGTGTGTGTGTGAAATGGTGCCAGCTGTTCATTTTGAGGTAGATGGTGGTGGGGCAGTTCAGCAGTAGAAGCATTTTAAAATAGGAAGGCTGTCTTAAACTACTAAATGATGTCTTTCTCCATCTGCCAAGTGATAGGATGCATATTGTGTTAATGTTTAGGTACAGAAAGGAGTAAATTGTCCCACATTGAGTGGTAAGATAAAAGGCTCCCATTCTGATAACTAATTTGTATTTCTGATCAGGAGCATTACTGCTGTTCTGTTTAATTATATTCTTTTTTTCCCCCCTGAAAACCTAATTTGTATGTTGACACAAATGTTGGCTTAGGAGAGAAAATCTGGCCTCTTTGTGAATGTTCCATTTTGTAATATGTGCTTAATTGTTTTTAACATGTAGTTAGGATAATTTGTTAGATGTGTTTATGGCTTACCACAGCATTTTAGGCAGAATTAACTTGCAGTACTTTATCACTGTTGGCATTGTGCATTTTCTTAGGATTTGTAGTATTTAATTTGTGCACCGGAGAAAATGCAGCCAAATATGTTCAGCTTCCCTTGTGCTCCATGGAGGAGAATGATACCAAGAAAGGTGGCCAGTAACCTTGTACTACTTCCACCTCCTTTGTCCTGTTGTCCTCTCCTCTTTGTTGGTGCTGGAGATTGAACCCACTGCCTCACATATCCTAGGCAGATCCTCTGCCATGGAACACTTGCAGCTCCTTGCCACAATAACCTTACAGTGCTATCCTGGAATTACTGAGCTACCCAGTCATTCAAAATCACTCAACAAATACTGCATGGTAGGCATGGTGCTAGGTACTGAAAATACAGAAGTAAAACTATCCTTGGATTTGAAGTTACCGTTCAGTCTGGATGGCCACTTACTAGGGCTGTGTTGGGGAATTAGATATTGACTAGGGACAATACTAGCTTCTGGCAAGAGTGAGAGTCAGAGGTTCTCAATACTGTGTGCTTTCAGGGTCCTGTTAAATTACTTGAAACTGATTCCCAATGTATGAAATTGTTTCTGTTGGGCCGTGCCATTTGAATGTCCATTTTAAAACTTGAGACCAGATAGGAGCAGTCACTAAGTTTCAAGGAATGAGAGAGACATAGCACTGTGGGAGAACACTTAGTAGATGAGTCTTAAAAATGTGACACTTGCTCTGTGGCCCTGCCAAGTGGGCATAAGATTAGCTTCAGGGAATGGCTGTGAAGTCCAGTGGTCACAGTGCTTTCATACCATGGTCAAGGCCCTGGGTTTAATTCCTGGGTTCTATCCCTTAAAAGCACACTAATTAAAGAGAAGTCATCTTTCCCTCAGTAACTTTCATTCCACATACTTCTACAGACAGAGGCACCATCGGGAATGGAATTGCCATCCTGGTATCCTGTTATAAAACAGGAAGGGGAACATGTTTCTCAGCCACATTCATTTTTACATCCCAGGTAAGTGATTTTTCATTTGTTTGTTTGCTTGTTTGATTCATTTATTAACAACTGCCTGTTAAGAATGATTTCAGGAATTAAAACTTAAGTCACTTCCCTTTAGGTTTTCCTTGTTACTGATTACCTCTGAAGATTTAGAATTGTTTTAGACAAGTACATTAGGACTGAACACACCTTTTGCTTGTTTTTAATTATAGGGAAATTGTTTAGATATTTTATTAGAAAAAATCAGGGTCTAAAATGAAGTGAACTGTAAGTTGTATTAATATTTGCAGTAACCTTTATTAGGTATTTGTTTTTCTAGAAATAAAAATTTCTACTTTGAAGTAGAAATTGAAGGAATCAATTTCTTTTTTTTACCTATAAGAGGGAGACTGACTCTTCAAGAGTGTGTTACTTTGCTGTTTTGTTGTTTTTTGTTTGAGACAGGTTCTCACTAGATAGCCCTGGCTGGCCTCCTTATGTAGTCCAGCTTGGACTTGAACTCACGGAAGTCTTCCTACTTCTGCTTCCTAAGTGCTAGGATTAGAGGTGTGCACCTCTGCACCTGGCCTTACTTTGAGGTTTTGAAACTTGGATACTTTATAGTAACCATATCCTTCACAATCCCGTGTTTATTTTTTAATAAAAGTGCATCCCAGTTGTCAGTCTTGCTTTATGGTTCACACATGCACATAGTCACCATCATGCAGTTTCCAAATAAGTCTCCAGAGCACTGTTAAACAGAGGGTCTGTTTGCTTAATTTTAAGGCAGAATACTGAGTATTTAGAACCAGAGAAAAAGAGTAGTAACATAGGTATCCTGCACAAAGAGATGTAAAAGGAGATTAAAGTGTAGGGCCATATCTTCTCAGTGTTAAATATTTCAAATTTGTTATGCAAGGCTTGCAGATAACCTACTGAGCAATTTTATGTGAACTTTGAGAAAAGTCAGTAGTTGTTCTTTCCGTTTTAATTTTGTATAGTTTATTATTGCTGCTGTATTAAGAATTTTAAGAGATTGCTCTATGGGTTTTGTGTCAACTTGATACAGCTAGAGTCATCATAGAGGAAGGAGCCTCAGTTGAGGAGATGCCTCCATGAGATCCAGCTGTAAGGCATTTTCTCAATTAGTGATCAACCTCCCAGTCCATAGTGGGTGGGGCCATTGGTGGGCTGGAGGTCCTGGGTTCTTTACAAAAGCAGGCTGAGCAAACCCTGGGGGACAAGCCAGTAAGCAGCACCCCTCCATGGCCTCTGCATCAGCTCCTGCCTCCAGGTTCCTGCCCTCTTGGGTTCTTGTCCGGATTTCCTTTGGTGACGGACTGTGATGTGGAAAAGTAAGCCAAATAAACCCTTTTTTCCCCAACTTTATTTTTGATCATGGTGTTTCATCTCAGCAATAGAAACTCTAAGATAGGTTTTGATGGAAGCATTGCCTGGTAGCTGGGCAGTATTCTAAGAATATGTTCTTTCTCTCTGAGGCAAATAAGAAGGTCCCTGGGAGCGCCTCATTGACTCAGTCTCACTGTCAAACACTGCTTACCTGTGGGAAGAAAATAGGCGCCTAGAGCAGCTGCCATCCTGTTCTCTCTGTGAAGAACTTCATGCTGTAGTTATTATGTCTTGAGGAAGGGTCTTTCTGTACAGCCCAGGGAAGCAGGCCTGTACTAACTATGTCACCTAGACTAACTCATGGCAGTCCTCCTGTTTTGGCTTCCAGGTCTTGGGATTATAAATGTGAGGTACCATACCTGGTGTTTCATGGTTCTGGTTCTGGTTCACAGGTGCTTTTGAGGGAGAAAGCAGAGACTCACCTTTTCTCTTCAGTATCTCTTTAGTGTTTTGAAATTGCTCTTAACAAAAATCCCTCAGAGTTTTGCTGTCCTTAAGTGCTGACTTTTTTCTTTGTATTTTTACATTGATTGTTCTAGTACCAGAAAATGGAATTTATAGAAAGATGCCACATCTTATCTTAACGCATGATATATAATGTGTGTTTTGTTTTGCCTGTCTGTTTCAGCTACTATTTGTACATGTGTGATAAAGTGGTTGCACCGAATGTGTCACTCACATCTGCTGTACCCCAGTCTAAAGAGGTCACCAAGACAGAGACAAGTAAGTTCATCTCCAAACAGTCAGAAAAGCCTCATGGTAGTAGTAAACATCAAAAAACAGTGTCTTACCCAGACGTCTCACTTGAGGAACAGGAGAAAATGGATTTAAAAACAAGTAGAGAATTATACAGTCGTTTAGGTAAGTATTTAGAAGTTATATTTTTAAAATAGCTAGTTAAGAAACTCATTTACTCGGTATTTTGAAAGTCTTTTCTATTTAAGGTAATTTCCCCCCATATAATCACAGCTTTTACTTTAAAACAGTTCTAACTTGAAAACTCGGGGTGATTTCTTTGCACTTCAGTCGTGAGCTTTCTGGAATGGTGGCAGCCTGTGGAGGCTGAGTGAGAGGAAGGTGCAGAGCTTCAGTGCACATGACTTTCTCATCTGCCCTTTCTTCCTTCCTTTGTTGGTAGAGTTCTTTAGCGGTTCCTTGTCTTTTTTTCTGTGAGCTGAGATGCTGTTTACCTGTTGCTGAGTGTATTTAACATTGAACTCCTGTGGTTCAGGAGGTTCAGAACTGGTGCTGATTACACAGTAAAGCAAGGTTGGGGCAGACAGATGGCATTGACACACGTGCTGACTGGTATTGCAAAGAAAACCTGCATGTTTCCTATGCCTTTAAAAATGCCACAGGCCACTGGAGAGGTGTACATGTTGATGCTGCCAGGGTTTATTGAGCATTGTGATTTTGCTCAGTGCCCTGCAGTTGAAGTCATCTAGCATCCTTGGGTTGTCAGGCAGTCTTGCTGTAACACTACTACTTTCATAAAGGTCGACATCTTCCTGGATTTAAGCTGTTATTGCTGTGACTCGGTTTCCTCTGAATTGAACTATGATGGTAATAATTCATACATCATTAAATTTGCATTGTTTGGCTCCCCAGTTAATTAGATGTCTCAGCAATAAAGAGCACCTGTTCTTTGTGAGGACCTGGGTTTGGGTTTGATTCTCAGAACCCATGTGGTAGCTCACATCTTGCCTATAACTTTAGTTGCAGGACATTTAATCTCCGCTGCAGACACCATACATATAAACACATGATATACACACATACATGCAGGCAAAACACTTGTGCATATAAAAGCTAAATCTAAAAAACTAAGTCAGGTGTCTTTGACATTCCATGGAACTTAAAAGTTTGTCTTAAGTGCAATCACCTTGTTGTGAAAAGCATCCCATCTGTTTGATCTCAGGGTATTTTCATGGCTCCAGTAGGAGTCCCTGGCACCTGCTGGCAGTCACCTCTATTCTCTTTTCTTTTCACTCATTGTCAGTGTTTGGTCTTATGTATGTGCTTATTCTGGACATTTTAGAAAAAAGAAGGGCAGTGTGCATGTTTTTATTAGGCATGTTCTCATCTTGTGTTGTAGGTAGGAACAGTTTCTTTTAAGAACTTAAGTGTTTTATATGCTGTGTTTTGTTTATCCCCTCTTCAGTTGGTGGATGTTTTGCATTGTGTCTCTATGTAGTTATTATGAAGAATACCTACAACTTGTATGCAAGTTTTAGTGTGGACATGTTTTCAGTTCTTCTTAGTATATGTTTAGTTGGGCCATGTAACTGCTAAGATTTTTAGTGACTTAGATTTTTCTGTAGTAACTGCACTGTGCTGGATTTCTCAGTAGTTTTTGAAAGTTTCAGTGCCTTCACATCTGTGTCAACACTTGTTCCTGTCTATTCTGAATGCAGTCATTGCAGTGGTTATGGTAATAGTGTCTTATGTGGTTTTGGTTTGTAATTTCCTAATGATTGTTGAAGCTGAGTATCTTATGATTTTCTGGACTGGATATTTTACTTGAAAAAAAAGTCTAATTCGTAACATCTGCTTGTTTTTAAATTGGGTTGTCTTTCCTATTGAGTTCCAGGAGCTCATTTTATATTTTGGTCTTATTAGACATACGATTTGCCATTCTGACAATTCCCTTTTACTTTCTTATTAGTGATACTTAAAGCATATGAGATTGCAGTTCTTATGCAGTTGAGTTTAGTTTGCTGTCTTACCTCAGGTGTCATACCTAAGAAAGCATTGTCTAGTCCAAGGCCAGAAAGGTTTGTGCTTAATGGTTTCAGCTTTTATGATTAATTCTTTGATCTCATATTTAGGTCATTTAGAATTAATATTTATACCATTTTGAGGTGGATTTTGAGACAGGATTTCTCTGTAACCCTGGCTGTCCTGGAACTCACTCTGTAGACCAGGCAGGCCTCAAACTCAGAGATCCACCTGTTTCTGCCTTCCAAGTGCTGGGATTAAAGGTGTGTGCCACCACCCCCTGGTCTTGAATTAATATTTATATACTGTGGGTAGTTCCACTTCTTTTTTAGTCTCTTTCTTCCTTTCTCTCTGTCTGTCTGTCTGTCTGTCTATCTCTCTCTCTCTCTCTCTCTCTGTCTCCCTGTCTCTCTCTCTCTCATGATTGATTTATTTAATATGTATACAGAGTTATGCCTGCGTGTATGCTTGCAGGCCGAAGAGGGCACCAGATCTCATTACAAGTGGTTGTTAGCCACCATGTGGTTGCTGGGAATTGAACTCAGGACCCTGGGAAGAACAGCCAGTGCTCTTAACCTCTGAGCCATCTCTCCAGGCCTAGTTTGTTTCTTTACATGTTAGTATTGCTTCTCATTTGTTGAATTGTCTTAGAACAATATTAATGGCAGTTGATGAAAGTATGGATGTACTTCTGGACTCTTTAAGTTCTTGGAAATTGAGTTTTTGAGGCATAAGATCCTCACTGGTAGCGCAGGCTGGTCTTGCATGTTGACTATATCAGCCTCCTGTGCATTGGGATCACAGGTGTATGCCATTTACCACTCCTGGCTTGGACCTGATTTTTTTTTTTGTTAGCTTTTAAGTTATTGTAGAAAATAATAGGCCTCATTTATTATATTTACATACATACATGTCGTTTATTTTATTTTGCTCTAAAAATAGGGAATGTTTCACAAGTTTGTATGTCATCCTTACTCAGAGGCCATGTCTAATTTTGAATTATTCTACTTTTCTCATATATGCTATTGAAGTGAGCACTTGGACTCTGAATTTTTTGCTGATTTAATTGTCTAATCGTATGTCAGTATCACCATTTTGATTGCATATGTATGTACAGTATGTGTTTGTGTACATATATATGTGTGTGTGTATATATACATATATATATACACACATATATGTATACATTTGTGTGTGAGTGCATGTGGAGGTTAGAGGACAATTTGGGTGTTAATCTTCACCTCTTATCTTGATGGTCTCTTTGTCGTTTGTCTTTTGAGTTTCTGGGATCCATCTGTATCTGCCTTTCTTTTTGCCTTAGGAAGGCTGGGTTACAAATGTGTGCCACCTCACATAGCTTTACAAGGGTTTTGGGGCTCAAACTCAGGTCTTCATACTTTGTGGCAAGCACATTACCAGCCCCACATTGTGATTTATGTAGCTTATAGGGAGAGTTGAAGTTGGGGGTTGTGAGCCCTCCAAATTTATTACTCTTTTGCTAGATTGTTTTAATAATTTTGAATTTCGTGCGTTTCAATGTGAATCTTAGAATGAGCTAGTTAGTTTCTGTGAAAATAGGAGCTGGGGTTTGATGTGGATTATACTGGGTAGGTTAAGTTTTTAGTCTCAAAAAAGTATTTTATTGCTTTTGAGTTGATTTATAAATTGAATTGTTAATTTCACTTATGTATTGTTTCAGTAACTTTTTGCCAGTGGTATTAATACTTTTTTCCCCCTTTCTTTTTTCTTTCCAAAGATCCACTGATCTCAAATAATTCTATGAGTAAAAAGAAATCTGAGTCTACTGTTTGCAACTTGGTGAGAGACATAAGCAAGCACGATGCTGAAGCTTCCTCTCCATTTCTGGTCAGAGATGTTACATGTGAGGATGACAAGGGAAAGATTATGGAAGAAGTGATGAGAACCTATGTAAAACAGCAGGAGAAGCTGAATTCAATTCTGCAAAAGAAGCAACAGCTTCAGATGGTAAATTGTCTTAAATAGTCACTGTTATGATAAATTTAATAAGAAAATCAGAATGAGATACCGCAAAGGGACTTGGGGTGGTTCCATTTTATACTAAGAAGCAGTTCTTTAGTCAGTCACTTCTATATAGACATGCTATCATAGCTAAACTTTAGATACTTGGTGACTTATGTTTTTCTAAGGATATGGAAATAAAGAACTGTCGCTCTTGTTACAGGAAGTGGAGATGCTGAGCAGCTCTAAGGCGATGAAGGAGCTCACTGAAGAGCAGCAGAATCTGCAGAAAGAACTCGAGTCTCTGCAGAACGAACATGCTCAGAGGATGGAGGAGTTCTATGTGGAGCAGAGAGACTTGGAGAAGAAGCTGGAGCAGGTGATGAAGCAAAAGTGCACCTGTGACTCGAATTTAGAGAAGGACAAAGAGGCTGAGTATGCGGCCCAGGTGAGAGTGCACCAGCCAGTCTTTCAGCATGGGGTGGGCGGACACTTGCCTCCAAGGACTTAGTTCCTTTAGTTCAGCCAGGCTGGGCTTCAGAGTGGAGAATAGCACAGCTTTATATGCTCCACTAAGATAGCTGTCTTGCCCTCCTTTGTTCCCTCTCCCCCTTGTTCCCTCCCCCCCTCCTGTCTCCCCCTCTTCCTCTTATCCCTCTTTTTTGGTGGGGATGTGGGGAGAGGTGCCTCCAATAAGATTTTGGGTTTTTTGCTTTGTTTTTGGAGACGTGGTTTTTCTGTGTAGCCTTGTAGAGCAGGCTGACCTAGAACTCAGAGATCCACCTGCATCTGTCTCCAGAGTGCTAGGATTAAAGGCATATGTGCCACCACTCAATATTTTTTTAACGTTTATTATTTTCAGTTTTAATTGGGATTCTGTAATTTAGTTATCTGTTAATAATGTCTAGTGCTCTCTGTATAAAATTTTGCATCTTTTTGGGCTAGGAATATAGTTGAATATTAAAACACCTGCTTAACATAGATAGGACCCTGGTTCAGTCTCTAGCACCATATAGTTTTTTTGTTATTTTGATATGATAAGGTGAGCTTTTGTTCCAAGTTATCAAACATGAGTAACTCTGTTACTATTACAAATATGGAGATGATGAGCACATTAACATAGCAGCTGTGGAGAGTCGGAGTGTTGCTATAAGCCTTTGTGACAGGATGCTACATCCTCATTCCTCTAATACTCCTATTCCTTCAATTCCCTAACATGTCAGATGTCAAAAGTAGGTGTTCTGAGATATGCATGAAAATAGTTCATTTTGTAAAAAGCAAATGGCAGTTTGTTTTATAACCATGGTAAGGTGATTAAATGGGAAAAAAAATCAAAGTGATGGAAAACTAATAGTCTTTTAAATTTTACAGTTGGCAGAACTGAGGCAAAGACTAGACCATGCTGAGGCGGACAGGCAAGAACTCCAAGATGAACTCAGACAGGAGCGGGAGGCAAGACAGAAGTTAGAGATGATGATAAAAGAGCTGAAGTTGCAGATTGTGAAATCATCAAAGACCACCAAGGAATAGGAGCCGAAGAAGAGATGGATCTGTATTTGGTCAACAGGGATTTGTGTTTGTCACTTACTTTGGAAATTGAATTCTGTTGTCTTGCCATATCTGCATGAAGATAGCTAGACATTCTATTCATTTATAGGGCAGCAAAATGAAGAGATTATATATTAGTACATAAATTTTTCCACTTTCCAAATGATAAGTGTATGCTTCTTTGAACTTTTTCCAGTCAGCTTGGTGATGATAACCCATGTAATTTCAACCTGTAGACATCTACCTGTATTTCTAAGGCAAGCCTAACAGTTACATATTTTTCAAAGCTGTGGTATGTGATGGGAAATATCTGTCAGTTTTATTATGCATATTTCAGGCTCGATTTTAGATACAGTGCTGATGTTTATGATGCAGAGTTCCTCAACCCTGTATCATCCTTCTCATTACAGAATATGTTACTACAGAATCTC